ATTCTACCTGCATTCCATATCATATTGATCAGCCTTAATACTACCTCCAGTGATACATTCCCTGGTGTTGTTTGTTGCGCATTTAAGATAGCCCTTTTTAATTCAAACATAGTAAAAGGCAGGTTCATATCTCCTCCTGATGCAGATCTACTTTCTTTTATTCCAGGGTTTTCCAACAGTGTCTGATTCCTATGCTGCTTATCTATTGTGGATAAATTTCCACAACTGTGGATTTTCACAAAGGTTTCTACCAAAAGCTCTGCTTTTTCTGCATTACTAACTGCATTCTTATTATTGCTACATAATACTGGCATTTCCACCTTTCTACCTAATCCACTCATTCTCCTGATTGTTCCCCATATGTCTGACAACTGAGTTTCACTTCCAATTTTATTGCAATACTGTCTCCAATACATGCGTTTGACTGACCTAATCGTTTTCCTAACTACTGCTTGTGCCCTTTTGTAGCTAATTAAAGTTTCTAGTGTGTGATGAGCTTTAAGCTGTCTAAATGCTTTATTTCTTCTTTTAACTGCTATTCTACAGCTCTCATCCCACCACGGCACGCTTTTCCCCCATTTATTTCCTGTACTTTTATGCTTTATTTCTTCTTTTAACTGCTATTCTACAGCTCTCATCCCACCACGGCACGCTTTTCCCCCATTTATTTCCTGTACTTTTAGGAATTGTTTCTTCTGCTGCGTGTATAATGTTTGCGACTACTACACTATTCATTTCCTCCACATCTGTTATATCTCTACTCAGTATTTCCACACACTTAGTCTCACTAATTTCTTGAAATGTCTGCCAGTCAGCTTTATCTAATTTCCACCTTGGTATTTTCACTTCCCCATCCTGGTGTACCTCTATGCCAATCCTAGTTATTATTGGATAGTGATCACTACCCACTGTCGACCTACCAATTACTTCCCATGCACTTATTCCTGCAATTTCAATTGACACTAGTGTTAGATCAATAGCACTTTATGTATTACTTGAACTATTATACCGTGTGCCCTTTCCATCATTAATACACACCATCTCTTTATCATCTATAAATTTCTCTATTGCTAATCCATTTATATCTGTGTTTTTACTTCCCCATAATGTACTGTGTGCATTAAAATCCCCACATACCACTATTTTGCCCTGCATTGATCCGCAAACTAATTCCAACATATCAGTACTTAATCTATTGCAAGGGTTGTAAAAATTGGTTATTTTTATACTGTTTTCCCCTGACCATACTTCAATTACAACAGATTCATGTTCTTTCCCTTTACTAATAAGTTTATATCTTACCCCACTTTTAACAAAAGTTGCTACACCTCCACCTTTTCCTGTTTCTCTAGCTCTCCTAATTGAAGTATATCCATACAATACAAAGTCCAAGTGTGGTTTTAACCATGTTTCTTGCACACATATTACATGAGGTCTATCTGCTAACTCTGAGACAAAACTCTTGAATTCCTGTCCATTTGCTATAAGGCTCCTGGAGTTCCATTGCAATATAGCTAATGACGCACGATCTTCTTCGTGGACGTCAACTAACAAACAGACGCGCAAGTACTGCCACCTATCGGTCAAATACAGCGCTGTGGCCTCACACACTCCACACACTAGAGAAGAATTCGTGTTTGTGGACGTATCTTTACATAAGCTACTACATAAAAGATATTATTGTTTTATTATATAGAATAAAGTGTCTTCCAGGATTAAGAGTTAACAGGATTTTACTGAGGCATTTTACAATCGGTGTAAGGCATACCCTTCATTTTCTAACATATTACAAACTAATATCCCTCCGATAATTACACTTTTATTCTATTTGAAAGATAATTCATAAATGATCTTTTTTTTTAACTTATTTGTTTGCAAGTCGAAACAAAATGGCTCAAACTGAATGATGCTGAAATCCTTTTTTAAAGGTCGTTTTAATTGCACACCTGTTACTAAATTAATGCACTTAATTTGAATCCCCTGAACATCTTTTCTACAATTGTATTATTGTTACGTGATTTTGGGACAAAATGTATAAATGGCTGGTTACATAGAACATAATAGGTGCTTTTGAATATCACGTTATCAAGTTTGGAGCTTGTATGAATAATCTGTGGAATAATATTTGGATTATATTAAATTTCATCTACACAAATGCAGATTTGTTAAGGCTGCTCCAGGTTTTGTGACTCAATCTCAACTCATCTCAAATTCTCAAATTTATATATGCTGATAAATATTATAACATGTCGATCAACCTCCTTAAACCTTTGCTTATTTCGATTATTTGTAAGCAGTTTTAAAATTATATTTTATATAGGCTATTTATATAAATATGTATTCATTTTCTCCTCAGTGTATGCTGCTTGGCTTGTTTGTGTTTGACAATGATAATGACTGGTTGTTATTTAAAGAGGATTAACAGAGATTTAAAGGGGCCTATTATGCTCTTTTACAAAGTCTTGATTTTGTTTTGGGGGTGTAGAACAGGCTCTCATACTAGGTTGTTCAAAAAACACATTATTTTTCACATATTTTACATTATTACAACACCTCTCTCCCCAGTCTGGCATGAACGGCTCGAATAGTTCCTGTATCAAATTAAGGCCCGCCTTCTGAAATACGTGCTGTGATCGGTTAGCTGGGCCAGTGATCGGTTAGCTGGGCCAGTGTGTGCTGTGATCGGTTAGCTGGGCCAGTGATCGGTTAGCTGGGCCAGTGTGTGCTGTGATCGGTTAGCTGGGCCAGTGATCGGTTAGCTGGGCCAGTGTGTGCTGTGATCGGTTAGCTGGGCCAGTGATCGGTTAGCTGGGCCAGTGTGTGCTGTGATCGGTTAGCTGGGCCAGTGATCGGTTAGCTGGGCCAGTGTGTTCTATAAAATGCATTGCTGTTCTGTTGTAAGTGATCTTAAAGATTCCTAAATGCATCTACTTTCGGAAGGTCAAATAGAGTGCTTTTGCACTGAATCACACAGCGTCTCCCTGACATGGCTGCTTCAACACTAACTGCGGTTACTGAAACCACGCCTTCTTTCTTTGCGTGCACAGTTGGGCGGGATAATGCAAATATTCCCACATAGTGAGGTAGATATGTGGGGGCGTGTTAGAACAAGCCGTTTTAGGGGGGTGTGGCAGAGTCTTAACTTTGATAAAGAATATCTCTTTGGTTTTGAGACTTTAGTCTTTGCAACTTCAGGGATCTTATCTATGCACAATCAGCTTGTAACACTCCAAAGAGAAAGGAAAACTTGAAATCGCATCATATGACCCCTTTAATATGTTGCATTTTGTATTTGCTATCGGAGTCTTACATTCTGTTGCTTTATATTGTTTACTGTTGTTTGTCATTTGATTTATTCATCTTGGAGATGGTTGGTTTGATTCATGGCTCAGAAATGTTCATTGAGGTAAATATCTTTCTGTGTATCTGCTAAGATCGTAAACATGAGGCTCTTTTCTAATCTGATACCAGATACTATGATAGCAGCAGTAACACGTCGTATCTTCTGTCACATAAATGCTCAAGAGTGAAAGAAACTCTACCCGAAGGCATTTCTCGAATGCTTGGCTTTCAGTGCTAATTCATGAATATTGCATCAGACGCCGAAAAACAGCTGTTGGGGGGCTTTTGTTCAGTTTTTAGAGTTTAAAGAGAGCCTCATGAATGCTCCTCTAGCTTCACAGAACCAGACTTTGACTAAACATAAATGCTCAAGAGTGAAAGAAACTCTACCCGAAGGCATTTCTCGAATGCTTGGCTTTCAGTGCTAATTCATGAATATTGCATCAGACGCCGAAAAACAGCTGTTGGGGGGGCTTTTGTTCAGTTTTTAGAGTTTAAAGAGAGCCTCATGAATGCTCCTCTAGCTTCACAGAACCAGACTTTGACTAACATTATGAAGTCTGAAACACATTACGTCCTGTTCTGGCCACCCGTTTAGCGATGATAAATACTGTGTAAATCTAAAAGAGGATATAACTATGACTACGTAAAGTGTTTTATCTTAAACACATCATCTTATCTCTGTCCCCTTTGCTCTTCCAGGACCCAGGCGGAGATGGGCCACACATGTCGGGGCACCATAAACCTGGCCACAGCCAATATCGCGGTGGAGGACTCATGCAATTTCGTCATCTCTAATGGCGGCACGCAGACGTATCACCTGAAGGCCAGCTCAGAGGTGGAGCGGCAGCGGTGGATCACAGCACTGGAGCTAGCCAAAGCCAAAGCTTTCCGCATGCAGGCTGAGTCGGGTCAGTTGGAAAGGAAACCACATTTGAGAATAGCACAAAAATGCACACTTCGGTGTTTCTGTTTCACAGTTTTCGTTCCTCTTTTTTCCTGCAGATGATTCCGGGGACGACTCCACTCCTCCTGCGGCAGGTCAGGGCGCAGGCTCACGCAACTCAGAGGTGCAGTCCACCCTCCGGACGCTGGGCAGCAAGGTGGAGGATCTCAGCACCTGCAACGATCTCATCGCCAAACACGGCTCTGCTCTTCAGCGGTCAGTCCACCTTTCTCTAACAGACTGGACACACTTGGCTAAATTTATTGCTCTCATGACATTAATAACATTTGCTTGAAATGTATTTGTTATATATTATTTATATAATGCGAATATATATATATATATATTTTTTTTTTATTGTAATTATTATTATGCTATTAAAATCTTTAATTAAAATAATTATATTTAAAATATTATTTATATTGTTGTTAATGTTTTGATTTAGCTTTTATTGTTACGTTTTTGCTTTTCATTTTAATTGTACTTTAAGTTTTAGTAATTTTGTTGTTCTTTTGTCATTTTTAGCTTTTATTTATTTATTTAGCTATTAATTTTATTTCAGGCTTAGTTTTAGCAATTTTTTTAGTTCCCAAGGCAACATTTCTAGTTTTTAAATATTTATTGTTTTTCATCTAATATTTATATTTTTAGCATATTTATGTTTGTATTTTAGCATTATTTCAGTTAACAAATTTTTTTCTATAATTTGTTAACAATAACGTGTATGTATATATTCTTTATCTGTCTGTCTATCTGTCTGTCTATCTATCTATCTGTCTGTCTGTCTGCACATACACAATATTTCATAGTTTTTAAGACTGTACTGTTAGTCTTAAATGTGAAAAATAGTAATAGTCAAGAAAAAGTATGTGTGTCTAAAACCTTTGTATTTCCACTCAGATTTTGCTCGTATAAAGTTGTTTCTTATGCTTTCTTTCAGGTCCTTGTCTGAGCTGGAGGGAGTTCGGCTGGGAGGAGAGACGAGTGAAAAGATTCGGCAGGTGACGGAGCGAGCCACCCTCTTCCGCATCACCTCCAACGCCATGATCAACGTAAGACCACCGAGCAATACTTTTACTTTAGGGAAAAAGCAACTCACTGCCTCATTCACTTGTGGTTGTCTGTTAAGCACACAGAAACCACAGTTAAACGTATTGTTAACGATTCTTTAATAATCTGATACCCAGGCCTGCCGGGACTTCCTGGCGTTGGCTCAGGCTCACAGTAAGCGCTGGCAGAAAGCGCTGCAGGCCGAGAGAGAGCAGAGAGTGCGACTGGAGGAGACACTGGAGCAGCTCGCCAAACAACACAACCATCTGGAGAGAGCCTTCAGAGGAGCGACCGTACTGCCTCCATCCCAGAGCAACCCTGCCATAGACAGCAAAGGTAAAGTACCGCTGGCACAGAAAGACTGGGTGCCACAAAATTATATAGAGACTAATATATAAACACAGATTTCTAATGCATTGTAGTTGCACACAACAATGAAAAGACAACTAGTGGTATCTTGACTCCCCAATTAATGACTTTTCTAAGCTAATCTTTTTGAATGAATCTGTCCAAATTGTTTTACTAATCAGTTTTTAATCACAGCACACAATTTTCACTAAATAAAGGCAATTGAGAATAGGATTTAACCTTTTCCATTTTGTTATTCAAATATAGCACTACATGGTAATAAACATCGATATGTATCTAAATACACAACCATTTGGACGTTTGGGGTCTCTTCTTCTCACCAAGGCTGCATTTATTTGATCAAAAATACAATAAAAACAGTAATATTGTAAAATATTATTACAATTTAAAATAAATGTGTTCTATGTTATTATATTGTAAAATGTAATGTATTCCTGAGATGCAAAGCTGAATTTTCAGCATCGTTACTCTGGTCTTCAGTGTCACATGATGCTTCAGAAATCATTCTAATATGCTGATTTGCTTGCTTAAGAAACAATTATTATTAGTTGTGCTGCTTCATATTTTGGTTGGAGCTTTTTGTGATACATTTTTTTCAGGATTCTTTGATGAATAAAAAGTTTAAAAGAACATAATTTATTTGAAATAGAAATCTTTTGTAACATTATGCATGTCTTTAATGACACTTTTGATCAATTTAATGCGTGCTTGCGTAATAAAAGTATTAATTTCTTTCAAAAAGTATCAATTTGATACAGTATGGTAGTGTATTTTACACAATTTTAATAACTAAATTGTTTAAAAAAAGTTTTGGTAATGCAAATTAGTCATTAAATCAGATTTTTGAATCAATTTAAATTTACAGTTTGAGTTGTACAGTTTGAACTGATTTAAAATACTTTTTATTCTTTAATAAACATATCGGCCAATTAAAAAGTTGCAGTGAAACCTTTGCAATTTTCAAAGTATTCCTTATTTTTAAAATTGTCAGCCGATTCCTTGTGAGTGTTGATCATTCTAACTCATTTCTGTGTTTAAAAACTCTTGCCTTACATTTGGATACGACATACTGATTTCCTGTCTATAAATTATACTTCCTTCTTTCTTTGTCCTGTAGGCCCAGTTCCAGGAAAGGGCGACGTCAGTGACGAGGACGAGGAGAATGAATTCTTTGACGCATGCGAGGACGTTCAAGAGTTTATCACTGTACCAGCAGACCCCAAATATCACAGGTCTGTATTTACCGCCTTGCTCCTGTCGTTTACTCGCATCTCTCTCTGTCCCTTAACTCTCTTCTGATATGAGTGTTACTGGACCTAAGTGTGTGTATCCTCTGCCTTCCCTTCCCCTTCCTCCTATCTCTCACTCTCTGGCTCTCTCATACGCTCTTTCCATTTCTCTCAGGAGATCCGGCAGCAATGTCAGTGGAATCAGTAGCGAGCTGGGAATGGATGACGGGACGACGTCGGTAAGGCGTTTATGTACACTGGCAGAATACTTATGATTTTTAATGTTTTTGAAAAAAGTCTCTTAAGCTCACCGAGGCTCATTTATTTGAGCAGTAATACAGTAAAAACAGTAATGTTGTGAAATATTATTACAATTTAAAAACATGATTTTTAAAATTTCTTGAGCAGCAAATCAGCATATTAGAATGATTTCTGAAGGATCATGTGACACTGAAGACTGGAGTAATGATGCTGGAAACTCCGCTTTGATCACAGCAGTAAATTACGTTTGACTATATATTAAAATAGATGATATTTCACAATGTTGCTGTTTTTACTGTATTTTTTTGATCAAATAAATGTAGCCTTCATGACCATAAGAGATGATTTTCAAAAACATAAAAAGTCGTAATTATTCCAAAAACTTGATCACCATTGTACGCAAGCCAAATTCGATTCGATGCGCTGTCTAAATATAAAAAAACTCATATTGACGATTGAAGTTTATGTTTAAACACCATTTTTGTTTTAATCTTTCACAGCTAGACGAGCAGTCTCTGGCGTCCAATCCCGAATCTCCACAGTCCCAGGAAGTAGTGCCTGTGAGAAAGAGGCGGAGCCGAATCCCAGATAAACCAAATTACTCTCTCAATCTATGGAGCATCATGAAGAACTGTATCGGAAAAGAGCTCTCCAAAATCCCTATGCCTGTACGCCTATCCGTATCTTTACAAGAATCCCAAACAGCCCAGATTCATTTGCTTTCAACGCATTCTTTCTTTTCACAGGTGAACTTCAACGAGCCCCTGTCTATGCTGCAGCGTCTCTCCGAGGATCTGGAGTACTACGAGCTGCTGGACCGGGGCGCCAAGTGCCAGAGCTCTCTGGAGCAGATGTGCTACGTGGCAGCTTTCACCGTGTCCTCTTACTCCACTACAGTTCACCGCACGGGCAAACCCTTCAACCCTCTGCTGGGAGAGACATTTGAGCTGGACCGCGTGCAGGAGAGCGGCTACAGGTCCCTCTGTGAGCAGGTGAGCTTTTGTTTATCCTGAGATAGATGAGTTGTGTTTGGTATTAGTCCGTTCTTCTTCCCGTCTTGGTCTTCAGGTAAGCCATCACCCTCCGGCTGCGGCCCATCATGCGATCTCCGAGCGAGGCTGGACCCTGAGACAGGAGATCGCCCTGGCCAGCAAGTTCAGGGGAAAATATCTCTCCATCATGCCCCTGGGTAACTATTTATCCTATTTTGAGCATTATCACAATGTTCAAGTTTTAAAATAACATGCGGCTTTCATTCAGGGAAGAGTTTTTCTCATTAGTTCCTTTTCTTAAAAACAACATATAAAACAGGAAGTGTAATGCAAAAAAGCCGATTAGAAACAATGTCGAGTGGAATAAAAAACGTTTTTGGACACTTTAACTATGAACATGTTAACAACTAACATTTGACAACCGCAGAGTGTCACAATACTGTTGGTCTTTATTTTTAACAATAGCAGTTTCAACAGTAACAGCTGTTTTATAATAATAATAAAAACCTGACTGAAACTAAATGTTTTGCGTGTAGAGTGTGCCAGTGCTGTATTTAAAATGGATACCATATGATATGATATTTTATTTAATGCAACACCATTTGGACCTTTTTAATTGTGACTTAAATATCCAAATACTTTTTCGATATGCCAATATAATGGCTGCCCAAACTAGGGTTTGTGATTCGACAATAAGCTAATAATTAATTATATCGTAAAAGTGTAAAATTAAAATATATACATTATTTGAAAATAAAAACTTTCAATTTAAAACACACACACAAAAAAAAGATATTAAATACAAATTTGTTTTATTGATGTCATGTAACTATTAACCGACATTAGAGAACTGTGAATGTGTTGTTTAATTATTAAAGTATTAAATTAAATTCTCTAGGGGTATTTAAAATAAATACTTTAAGTCAAAGGGGTTCGGCTGACCAAAAAAAAAAAGTTTGCAATCCCTGCATTAATATATTAGTATATTTTGTTCATATTAAAAGATGGATATTTGAATGTCATATGCTCACATTTATGTTTTTAAGCAAGAGTTTTCAAGCTGATTTTGAGTTGCTTGTTTGTTTGCTCCAGGTTCTATTCATTGTATCTTTGAGAAGAGTAACAATCACTACACCTGGAAGAAAGTCACAACCACAGTGCACAATATTATTGTCGGGAAACTCTGGATCGATCAGGTCAGAATACACGCTACTTATTTAGACATATTTTCATATATAATCGGCATCAGTGTGTCTGATATAAAATGAACTGATGGACTTGTCAGTGGATAATGCTACAGTAATTCCTCTTTTAATTGTTATTTTGTAAATATTGTGTAAAAAGTGTGCTCATTTCATTTTAACAATTTTTGGTACATGTCTCACTTGCTTATGTCATTTGAATTATATTATGTAAATAACATGATTGTCACTCAGTTTTTTGTGCATTACATTTTTCCTGGTTTTGCAAATTACATTTGCATTATACAAATGTAGCTCGTAAATTGCTTAAATATCTATAGTGTGGCATTTGATTTTATTCATAAGTGATATTTGTGTGTCTCTCTCTTTCTCTCTGAGTTCAGTCAGGAGAAATAGACGTTGTGAACCACAGGACAGGCGACCGCTGTCATCTCAAATTCGCCCCGTACAGCTACTTCTCCCGAGATGTGGCCAGAAAGGTGAGTCAGCAGCCATTCCACTGACTTCCTTCTCCCAGAATGCAGACGTGTCTGTTTTTTCACCTTTTATCTGTCACCCTTTGCAGCTTTTCAGGTTCTTTTTGCCCATTCTGTAATTTATGTCTGCTTTCGCTTCCTCCTTGTGCAACGCCTCTCTTTGTAGGTCACGGGGGTAGTGACGGATAAAGACGGGAAAGCGCACTATGTTCTGTCTGGGACGTGGGACGAAAAGATGGAGTGCTCTCGTGTGATGCAGAGCAGCAGAGGGGGAGAGAACGGCGCCGACGGGCGACAGAAAACCGTCTATCAGACGCTCAAAGCCAAAGAGCTGTGGAGGAAGACTCCGCTGCCGTAAGATATTCCCTGTCGCGTACAATATTTCCCAAGTTCAAGCTCAGTCGACAGTATTTGTCCCTCAATTTTTTTTAAAAAGCCAAAAAGAACAGTAGCAGTAACAATGGAAGTGAATGGGCCACTCTGTAAATGTTACAATACTCATTGTTTCAATCATACAGCCACAAAATGTGTACAAAACATTATTTTAGTGAAGAAAATCACTTTACATCCAATTTTATTACTTTGTTGTAATGACAACATAACACCAAGCTGTGTGTACATTAATGAGGAAAAAAACTTAACTTGAATGATTTAACAAATGGCTGCAATATTGTTAAGAGTGAAAATTTTAAGGGGTCTGAATACTTTCCGTACCCACTGTATATACAAGAATAATTAATAAATCTGTTTTGAGCTCTCCTTTTAATTTTGTGCCAAGATAAAAGCTCTATTATTTCACATTTAAAAGCAAAGAAATCAAGACGGACTTAAATATGAGTAGTGGAATTTTACTGTTGTTCTAATTAATTTATTATTATTAGTATTATTACTATTGTTGCTTTTTTTTTTACAATAGTATTGTTGCAAGTTATATTTCTTAGATTTTTTTACAATTAAATATTTTGAATGAAGATGATGATATATTATTATTTAACAGGATTTGTGGCATAATGTTGACAACCAAAAAATTAAAAAATCTTGTTTTCTTGAAAAAGGCAAAGGAATTGAGGTTCCAGTGAGACACAATGGAAATGTGTGGGACCAATTTTTGGAGAATTTTAAAGCAGAAATGGGAAGCCTATAATTTTAGAATGCACTGTTTGACCGTAGAATAAGAGTGGAAACAGTGTTAGAGCTACATTTTTACAGCTTAATGGGGTCATATTATACATTATACAGCATTATTCTTTTTTGCTTAACAGCACAAGATCCACAATTCATGTTAATGTAGTCATAATATGACTCTCAGGGGTGCTCCGATTGATCGGCTACCGATCCCTATCGGCCGATAATCACGTTGGGATGATCGATCGGCGGTCTCTAAAAAGGCCGATCTCAAAAAAACAATCTCAAGCTGATGACGCTGCCGTGCGAGGGTTGGCACGACATGCAGCGGCACAGTTTCAGTCTCTGTCCAGCGCGGGTGAAATAATTATAATGCTGAAGGTGAGGTAGTCTCATGCACACTTGCAGCTTACACACATAATGCCACAAGGTTCACATTACTCCGTTTGCAGTGCGTATGTGGTGCGTATTTTTTCCGCGCTCATGTTAACGGATTAATAAAGCGTGCACACTGCAGATGGTTGCGGTCCGGCAGTGCGTTCCAGGAGCGGTGCGTCTGCAGCAGTGCAGAGATTGTTTCCACACCATAAATGCATATTATTAAAGTCTACTGTGTTTCACAATTAACACATATGGCTTTTTGGCTAGGTTTAAAGGAAAAGAGCACTTTTAGATCAACAAGGCAATAATAGATGGCACTCGTGGAGGTAGGAAAAGATAAGAAAGTTCTTTATGAACTGCAGGATTGCTTGTAATAAAGATTTAAATGCAAAAGGAAAGGCAGTAGAGCTGACTATTTCTGTCAATGGTAAGTTTGTGATAATGTAAGAAAAGTAGTTTAAATGTTTTGACACTTGCTTGAACAACTTAATATATAAACCTAGAAGTAAATGCAAAAGTAAAAAGCATTGAATAATGTGTTGTTTATATTTGTTGTGTTTAAACATGTCTGTGTATTACTGTACTGTGTAAAAAAAAAAAAAGAATTGCAATGCTGAAAAAGCATTTTCAGTGACAATGTTTGGATTTGAAATCAAAATAATGGATAAATGTTGTGTTTGTGGTAAACAGCCACGGATCAGGAGCTGACTCCTGTGTGAAAGCTGCTTCTCCTCTCACAAGAGTCACCTAAGAGGGGAATTCCCCCACATTTTCAAAAATGAAATTCAGGCCCTGAATAAATGTCTAAAAATCCTGATTGGAGTATCACTATATATAGTTATAAATGATAAAAAGAAGGCTTTAAAAAGATCAGTATCGGTATCGGCAGATACTGCTTTCTGTGATTGGCGATCGGTGATCGGCCTCAAAAACCCTGATCGGAGCACCCCTACTCTGAACTACTGCAAACACGTACAGCTTATGCATTGATTATCACAGAAAACTACACACTATCATACACTTCCACATATGCGTCATATTATACAGTGACTGCGATTTCACACACATACACACATTATAAAATGGCAATTGTGGGGTTAAACTTGCATTTGTGAGCTGATTGATTAGACCCTCACTGTCTCATTATCTGCTCTGTGTCACTCTAGTGGAGGGTCCTTATGGAGCTCCGGTCAAAAGCAAGTAACATCCACCCAAAACCCTTCCAGCCCCTCCATTGCTCACATCTGATAGAGCTAGGCGGTATGATCAAGCAGAAGACTGTAGTTTAACTATTGAATTGACATGTCATGCCACTTACATTGAGTGTGAACATGTAGGATTTTTGCACACCTGTGCTTTAATAAAATATAATTTAATATTTAAAAATAAATATATGAATGTACAAATGAAATGTACTTCGGCTCATAAAATAAAATATTAAAATAAATAAAATATGTAATTAAAAATGATACAAATATGTATGAAAAAAAAAATAAAACATCTATTAGGCATGTAACGGTATAAAAATTTCTTATCACGATTATAGTGACCAAAATGATCACGGTTATCAGTATTATCACGGTATTGTTAAAATGTGCTGGAGATGTTCAAAAAGTACCAACACATAAATCACTTTAAGTTTTATATTTAAAAATCAACAAACAACAAATAAGATGACTTTGTTTGCATAATCACTAAAACAATAACATTACCAATAATGTTCGGATTTTAAATGACAACTTGACTGACAACAGTTTAATAGCATGTTGAAATATCTAATGTAAATGTTCAAATAAAGCTTTGAAAAAGTTTCATAAGGTAAACCTCACATTTCAGCCTAAGTACACATAATGTGTAACAAGGTTTTGTAAAAGAAAATTGTTATTAATATTTCATATGTAGACTAGATAGACTACATGGATTTAATATAGAATATATAGACTTTTTTGGAATGTTACATGCAAAATATGTTTTTATGTGTATATTTATTTTTCAAGTCCATAATCAATTGTGCTAAAGTATGTTTCATGTATTTTATTCATGGGCTTGTGCAGAATTGAGAATTATATATTATATTATATTTTATATAGTTCAATTTCCAGCAAAAATAACTTCACTGTTATTTATACTCCCATTACTGTAATATAAAGTTGTATCTTGGACTGTGATCTAAAATGCTGGTCATGCCGCCCACCTCTAAACTTTACCAATATTTTTTCCTTTTTTTCTTTATTATTCTTCTTCCCGAGTTGACCATGTGCCTCTCTTAGCTGCTGTTTATCAGCCTGTTGTGTGAATATAGAAAGCGAGACGTGTTGAGATTGTAGCTGATTGTTTAAGTATAGATTTAATAGTTTAGTCCGCATTTGTTTTGTAAGCTCCAGGCTGTATTTGAAATAGTTTCTAATAGCTTTTGTAGAAAAGGGCTCTATTGAGTTACTAGCACCCTCATATATGTTCTGTTCTCTAATTATGTGACTGTTTGTTTGCTTTTGTATGTACGTGTTTGTTTTGTTCGATCAGGTGGTCACCATGACAGCTACAAGTCCATGTGGTTCGAGCAGCAGGTCGACCCGATGACAGAAGAGCCCACGCACATCTACAGAGGAGGATACTGGGAGGCTAAGGAGCAGGGCAACTGGGACTCCTGCCCGGATATCTTCTGATCCCAATCACGCACATGCCCCACGATGCCCTCACTGTCCCGTTTCCCGGAAGATAACAAACAAACGAAAGCTCAGTCAGCTGCCCCTTCTCTTTTCCCGTATCGTAGTATATCGAGATGCGCGTTCTTCTCTTTCGCCAGCCGTGCTCTACTCAGTGGACAGTAAGGGACACCGAAATGGTCCGGGAGCGCTCTCCCACCACCATCCACTGTGTGTCTCTCTGTTCTCCTCACGGGATTATTAAAACATAGGGTTCACGATTCAGTAAACGCTAGCGTTAGGAAAACATATTCAACACGCTCCACATGTCTTCCTCAAGCTGTGGATGTCACATCCTTAAACATCCGGGGGACATGAAGGCCTGTTTGCTCATGCAAGCGTGTGTGTGTGTGTGAGAGAGAGAATTAGCACAGGTGTGAATGAGTTCAGAGAAGCGCTGTAGTGCTCTTTCTTTTCATTGAGCATATTTGTGTGAGAGATGAAGTTTAAGAGCTCGCCTTGGTTTGTGGATTTTAAAGGAATGGTGTGCACAAATATGAAAGATCTGTCATTACTTACTCGCCACCTTATTTCTTTTGCAAAACAAGCTTTTTTTCCAGTAATGTTAGTGCACAACATGTCAAGCGCTAAAAAGCATGATAAAAGTACCATTAAAATACTCTATGCGATTTGAGGAGCTATGTTCCTTCTGAATTTATACAATAGTTTTCTGTGAGGAGTTCTCCAATTGTTTGAATGCCAATTACGCAGGTCGACCCGATGACAGAAGAGCCCACGCACATCTACAGAGGAGGATACTGGGAGGCTAAGGAGCAGGGCAACTGGGACTCCTGCCCGGATATCTTCTGATCCCAATCACGCACATGCCCCACGATGCCCTCACTGTCCCGTTTCCCGGAAGATAACAAACAAACGAAAGCTCAGTCAGCTGCCCCTTCTCTTTTCCCGTATCGTAGTATATCGAGATGCGCGTTCTTCTCTTTCGCCAGCCGTGCTCTACTCAGTGGACAGTAAGGGACACCGAAATGGTCCGGGAGCGCTCTCCCACCACCATCCACTGTGTGTCTCTCTGTTCTCCTCAATGGATTATTAAAACATAGGGTTCACGATTCAGTAAACGCTAGCGTTAGGAAAACATATTCAACACGCTCCACATGTCTTCCTCAAGCTGTGGATGTCACATCCTTAAACATCTGGGGGACATGAAGGCCTGTTTGCTCATGCAAGCGTGTGTGTGTGTGTGTGTGAGAGAGAGAATTAGCACAGGTGTGAATGAGTTCAGAGAAGCGCTGTAGTGCTCTTTCTTTTCATTGAGCATATTTGTGTGAGAGATGAAGTTTAAGAGCTCGCCTTGGTTTGTGGATTTTAAAGGAATGGTGTGCACAAATATGAAAGATCTGTCATTACTTACTCGCCACCTTATTTCTTTTGCAAAACAAGCTTTTTTTCCAGTAATGTTAGTGCACAACATGTCAAGCGCTAAAAAGCATGATAAAAGTACCATTAAAATACTCTATGCGATTTGAGGAGCTATGTTCCTTCTGAATTTATACAATAGTTTTCTGTGAGGAGTTCTCCAATTGTTTGAATGCCAATTACGACATGATTTTTTTTGGAGACAAAACCGTCAAACTGCACCATTTTTATTATTTTTTAACTCTAATCAAATGTCAGGTTTGGCAGATTGGAAGATTATCAGTAAATTTCGATCTTTTCATTCACACTAAGCCAATGTATTACTTGAGATATAACAAATAAGTCATATGCATCACTTTTATGGTGGTTTTAAGTCATTATGTTGGTCCTTTTTGGAGCTTGACAGCCTATAAACTGTTCTACAGAAGAAGAAGAAAAACACCATAAGTATAATGAAAGTAGTCGATGCGATTTGAGGTGTAATATTCTTTCTGAATCTATACAGTAGTTTTGTGCGTAAAATTCTCACTTGTTCGAACTGGTACAGCAATTACGACACACAAGAACCATTGGCATTTTTGAGTCGGTGATTATCAAACTGCATTTCTTTTTTTAAACGTTCGCAAATAAATTTTCAGAGCTTTGGCAGATCATGTCAGTGAATAATGTAAAATTCAAGCAATCATATTACTTGAAATGTAACTCACAAGTCACATGCATCACTTTCATTGTGCTTTTCTGTCATTATTTTGGTCCTTTTGGACCTGGACAGCCAAAACATTAAAGTATCATGAAAGTAGTGCGATTTGTGATGCTATATTACAAGTCTCCTAGTTTTATGCAAGGTTTTCTTTATTTGTTCAAACTGGCAGGACAATTATAAAATGCAAGAATCAATAGCATTTTGGAGTCAATGACCATCAAACCACACAATTTCTTCCCAAATCAATGTCAAGAGCTTTTACAGAAGAAAAGATTTTCAGTGAATAACAATGTAAATTTCAGTCTTTTCATATTACTTGAAATACAACACAATTTGTGTGCGTTACTTTTATGGTGCCTTCAAGTCATTGTTTTGTTTCTTTTTTTCAGCCTATAAACTAAAAAAAAAAATCAACAACATGCGGGTTTGAATGACCCGAGGGCGAGTAAACAATGGCATCATTTTCATTTTTGCGTGAACCGTTCCTTTAAATCCCATTACAACTGTACAGTCCTCTCAATCCATTCTGCTTGGAATGAGGAGGACTAACACCCGCTAAAATCACTTAAAATGACTAACCAGTTGTCCAGAGCGTGTTTGTTTATAGCCTCCAGAACAGCATATCTGTCGATGCTCTGAAGGGATTGTGCTGCTCTAAGCAGGAGAGCCACGTAAAAGCGTCAGTGTAGCTGCACTGCTCGAGTTTAGCTTCAGCGTTTCAAACTGACAAGTCGCTGTGCTTTGACACCAAAGGAAATACCCATTTGCTGAGGTTTCCCCTTCAGCCTGGGCACAGATGCATTATGGTCCGCTCCTGCTCACGTGGAAAGGGGTGAAAAGAAGGACGGTGTCCACAAACTGAGGCGCTCGTGTGTGTGTGAGTGTGTTCAAATGGGCACGTGAGGTCAAGGGAGTCTCAAACCAGTATGTGTATGTGTGTGATCATGAGTGACGTGTTTGGGGTTTGTTGTATGTTCCAGTGAAACAAAAAAGAGAAATCGCATTTTATTTTCAAGTGTACTTAAACACATGCGTGGGAAAATAAAGCAAGAATACAGCAATGCAAAAACATTGAGGATATTTGTGTATATACATCAAATAATGAAGTAAAATCATACTATTAATACCAATTCTTCTTATGCTGACACTGACAGCTAGAGTTATAATTATGATGGTAATTTTGATGTAGTTTGAGGGTTCAGCACAATTATTTTGATTTTTATCGTTTTTTTTTTTTTGTCTTTTTGATATGGGAAGCGACGACGCGTTCGTGTTTTCTTCATGTCAAAGACAAAATGTTTGCTCATTGTCCTTGAATGGATTCAGACTAATGGAAATTTTATATATGTGTATATCTATCCCATCATCCTCCTGTTCCATTAAAACAGCGGTTTCAATGTGAATTCACAGTTTTACTGCTGTTTGTAGTAATTGCAGATTCTATTTTCTTTGTTTGTAGTCTTTGTACAACTGTAAAACGTCTTTCTTCATTGATTTCTTTCCTCAAGTTTTCCTCACTACCGCTGGTTGTCATTCTTCTTTTCGTTTGTCCTGTTGGAGTTGTCCCTCTCTTGGCCTCTGATCATTGTGTTACAGAATTGCTCTTGAAGGTCGTCATGGTGCAGATGATGGTTTAATAAAAGCTGGTTTGAAAAGGAAATGATCAAACAAGCAACAGTCTTTCACGCCTGTCATTATGAATTTTCACCCATTTTTGCATATTTTGCAAGTCACTGTTCTTAGAGTTTGTGGGTGAAATGCAGTTGATAAACCGTAAGTTTCGGTTTCCTGTCTTTTGCTCTGGAGGACCACCAGACTTTTTACAGGAAAACATTTTTTCCTGCTGACGTTATGTAGCTGTAGCAGGCTTCTAATGAGATTTCCAGACCTGATTTTTTTTCCCCTTGTTCTGTTCAAAAATGTTTCATTGGCTAAAAATGACTAGATATTAATATATAATTATTTAAATCCATTAATTTCAAGCATTAGTACCTGACAAACAAATGGAAAAACACTATAATATGTTTTAAAATGATGTTTGGAAGGGTTATTGAAATTCATTGGTCAAACTTTGTTTAGTGTCTTGGGTCAAGAAATCAAGAAATCAAGAAGTTTACACCTTGACATTTCTTTATGTAAACGTTTTAGGTCCTATTAATAACTACTATTGGAAAATATTAACAACATTTAACTCAATGCTCACCAGTGCTATTTAAGAGTCTTTGATTGAATTAGGTTTAATATTTGTATTTTTTGTTCAACTTAATTTAATATTTATCTTTTTAGGAAAAAGTTTAAATGCACGTCACATATATTTGTTCTTGCATTAGTTTTTTTCATTTTAATTTTAGTCATTTTGTTTACTTGTTTCTAAAGCAGAAATGCTTTAGAAAAGCAAAATAGCTTTTTATTTCCAGAATCCCACTCATTGTATTAAACAAACTGTACAATGCAATGTGGTTATGTGACATAATAGAGTAATACTGTTCCAAATACTGTTTTAGTTTGCAATACATACTGTGCATTATTCAGTAATCCAAAAAACTCGTTAGCTACACCCATCCAAAAAGCTTAAGTTTCTATTTCCCAGCTGTGAGCTTTTCAAAGGAGGTGTGTCTTGAAGGAATCATTTTAAAAAGAACTGGCTGCAGCAGCTCACTATAGGTCAACAACCAGACCACTGCAAGAAACTTGGAGGATCAGTCTTCACCATACAAGGTAAACATGAGGATATTTGTGTTTTCCATAAGGACAGCACACTTGTGATGCTTAAAAGTCATTCTCTTAGATGGTTTTAGAGGCGTTGTATGAGACACAGAAATATCAAATATATATTCACCCATAATTTCATGATAAAGAATGTGTATTTACGACACTCTCAAAATGGCTTAAATTTTATTATACAATTTCAAGTGAAAATTTAAATATGGCCTTCTTTTCTACCTTTACAAATACTATTAAAACTCTTAATTTAAAATTACCCTCAAAGTTCTAGAAAAGTTATATATATATATATATATATATATATTTATATATATATATGTTTAGTTGGTGTTTCTATGACAACCTGCTTTCATTATATCCGTGATTATTATATACATTTTATTATAATGTAATGGTGAATTGATTAAAGCATCTATTAGTGATGGGCAAGTTCGAATAACTGCTTTACGAAGCATCGAAACCTTTATGAATTGTGTTTCGGAGTGAATTGGAGCAGGTAGGCCTGTCTGACAGAGTCACGCGATTTCAGCAAAAGAGGCTTTGCTACATCCTCCTGTTTTGAAGCGTCTGTGGTTTGAGGATAGTGTTGTGTTAAATGCATTGAACTTGTGGTTGAGTCATTTTTACAATATAAAGCTGCAGTCTGTAAGTTCTTTTGGTTAAAAATTATGTGAAATAAATTTTTCGAGCTAGTACATAACCATCCAGCTCCGTGATTATTATATACATTTTATTATAATGTAATGGTGAATTGAGTAAAGCATCTATTAGTGATGG